GCACACTCGGCCTCCCTAAGCCACTTGAACACTTACCATTGCACACTTCCTGGCACACTCTTCATTCCTAGCTTCTGCCACCTCCACCACACTGCCAGCTTTGTCCTCATCCTAGAGTAGCAGCAGGACCCTGTCACTCACTTCAAAGCCACCATGTCTCTGGGGCCACAGAAATTCCAGGCAGTGGGTGAGGAGGATGAGGAGGAAGAGGAGAGCCTGGATTCTGTGAAGGCACTGACTGCCAAGCTGCAACTACAAACTCGGCGGCCCTCATATCTGGAGTGGACAGCCAGGGTCCAGAGCCAGGCCTGGTGCAGGACCCGAGCCAGATCTGGACCAGGGGAGCCTGGGGCCATCTGCGGCTTTGACTCAATGGATTCTGCCCTTGAGTGGCTCCGACGGGAGTTGGTGAGTCTGTTGGCATGGATAGCCTTGTACATGGCCTTTGACTTCCCCTGGGTGGTGGAGAGGAAAAAATGGACTCCCTGCCCCTTCCAGAAAGGTCAGCAAGGGCTTACTCCTGTGCCCCTTCTGTTGGGGGTTGTGGGGAGGAGAAACAGGAATGTAACTTGTCCAGTGTTTTTTGTTTTTTGTTTTTGTTGGTTGTGGGGCTTGAACCCTGGGCCTGGGCGCTGTCCCTCAGCTCTTCAGCTCAAGGCTAGCTCTCTACCACTTGAGCCACAGCACCACTTCCGGCTTTTTCTGCTTATATGGTGCTAGAGGAATCAAACCCAGGGCCTCATGCATGCGAGGCAAGCACTCTTCCACTGAGCCACCTTCCCAGCCCCTTGTCCAGTGTTTTATTCAAAAAGCCTTGCTGAAAAAAAAAATTCCATCTAATCTGTTGAACTTGTGCTCCTGTGAGTCAGGAGACAGAATCTTTAGGGAACCACCCATTTTAGATAACAAAAGACATGGCCTCCCATATTCTGGAAATTGCTGTACCCCAGAGATACAGTGAAGTACAAACAAATGGAATTGATGATGCTGCTGACAGGCAGAATCTGACAGAACAGCGTTAAGTATTAGTGGTCAACCCAACAAGCTCAACTATAAAATGTCCAGATCTAATCGATCTTTTATCTATATTTGCTTAGTAATGGCTCCTTAGCTTGGTTTGAGAATCCGTATTGATGGAGCAAGATCTGAAACATAGGGAGCGATGATGCTGGGTGAGAGAGGGCTGTGGACTCAGCCATTGATTGGAAAGGCTCAGAATGTTGGACAGGGAACAATGGCTGAGGCCCACCAGACAGGCTCACGCCCCCTCTCTGCCACAGAGGGAGATGCAAGCTCAGGACCGGCAGTTGGCGGGACAGCTGCTGAGGCTTCGAGCCCAGCTGCACCGTCTGAAGGTGGACCAAGCTTGTCACCTGCACCAGGAGCTGCTGGACGAGGCTGAACTGGAACTAGAGCTGGAGCCTGGGGCCGGTCTGCCCCTGGCCCCCACGCTGCGGCATCTGGGTCTCACGCGCATGAACATCAGCGCCAGGCGCTTCACCCTCTGCTGAGGGCACCTGTGTGCCTAAGGGGGGGCCTCTGGGAGGAGGGAAAGGAGGAGTCCACTAGGGAGGAGCCTCAAAGGTGCCAGCACCTAGTGAGTGGAAGGGGAGGCGCACTTTAGTCTGAATTCTGAGAGCAGAAAGTCCCAGCTGGAGGTGGGAGCAGCTCTGATTACCAAACTTCTCAATAAATGTCCTCTGCAACCTGTCAAGATCTCTGGAGTTCTTCATTCAGGCCTAAGATCCTGTCTGTCTGTTGTTGCTAGGACAGGGGATTCCACTACAGAAGAGAAGGCCCTTTTGGGGATGGAGATGGACTGACAGAATCTTCCCCACAGCTCCAGCCGATTTCTCCACCTTACCAAGATCATTAACACACACAAAAAGACAGTAGCTGAGGCTGGGAAGGTGGCTCAGTGGTAGAGCGCTTGCCTTGCATGCATGAGGCCCTGGGTTCAGTTCCTCAGCACCACATAAGCTGAAAAAGGCAGAAGTAGTGCTGTGGCTCAAGTGGTAGAGCGCTAGCCTTGAGCTGAAGAGCTGAGGGACAGTGCCCAGGCCCAGAGTTCAGGCCCCATGACCGACAAAAAAAAAAAAAAAAAAGAAGTGGCACTGTGTTTTAAGCAGTAGAGCACTAGCCTTGAACACAAAGAGGTTTAGGGACAGCACCCAGGCCCTGAATTCAAGCCCCACAATCAAAAAAAAAAAAAAAATTAAGCACCTATGGCTCTTGCCTATGATCCTAGCTACTCAGTAAGCTGAGATCTAAGAATCACCTTTTGAAGCCAACCCAGGAAGAAAAGCCACTGAGACTCTTTTTTTTTTTTTTTTGAGTCCGGGCTTGGGGCATGAACTCTGGGCCTGGGCGTTGTCCCTCAGCTCTTCAGCTCAAGGCTAGTGCTCTACCACTTTAGCCACAGTGCCACTTCTGGCTTTTTTTTTTTTGCTTATGTAGTGCTGAGGAATTGAACCCAGGGCCTCATGCATGCAAGGCAAGCGCTCTACCACTGAGCCACCTTCCCAGCCCGCCACTGAGGCTCTTATTTCCAATTTATCCCCAAAAAGATAGAAGTGAACTGTGGCTCAAGTATTAGTGCACTAGCCTTGAATCCAGGCCCTGAGTTCAAGCCCCAGTACTGGTACACACACACACACACACACACACACACACACGCACGCATGGACGCACGCACGCATGCACGCACACACACACTGTTAGTGGGAAAGAACTTAAGATACTAAGTTACTCCCCTGGGAGGTGTGTTAGGTAGCTGAAGGATGCAGTCTGTTAGTAGTGGGCTCAAAGCCAGCTCCCTGATTTCATTCTACTAGATGTTGAAGAGGTCCCTTAGTGGATCCCTGAGTCTCTTACTTCGCAGTGGAGATGCTAAATGTTCACCACACAGGTAGCTGGACATGCCTTAGGTACAGCAAGCACACAATATGCCCATTCTATCACCTCCAATGCCAGGACTCTTTGATGAGTCCCCAGATGGACTATGAAGGGCCAGGTTCACAGGCCAGGGCAGCTGGACCCTGCCCCAGGCCTGCAGCCACATCCCTGGGCCCTGTCCTGAGGAAGGGTTTTGCTTTGTGTCTCTCAGCCTTTGTTTCTGTGTTACTCTCTTTGTCTGACTTTCCAACTCAGGTTTCCTTTCCCCCCCACCATTTCCTGTTCCCCTCCCTTCCCCTCTGCAACTGAGGTACACACAGCTTCAGCTTCTACCACCAAACCCCAACAATGCTTTGTGGGCTCCCCTCCCCCACCTGCTGGCTCAGTGTAACTCAGGAGGTGACGCACTTACGCCTTCCTCCCAGTGGGGTGAAGGCCCAGTTCTTGATCCTGACAGGGGCCATCCAACATTCCTCATCTCACTGGTGACCTGGCTCTTAGCCTATGATGGGTGCCCCCCCCAGCCTGGCACCAGCAAATGGAGATTCCTGGCCTGCCTGTGGCTGGGTGGCAAGGCTCTTGCCTCCTGACTGCAGTACAAATGTCCCAAGTCTGCCTGCTCCAGTTCCTGGGTATTGTGCTGGTTATCTTTCAACTATGGCAAGAAATGGTGCCAGGCTATATATTCCATGAGGGCAATGGCTGCTTATTAATTTATGACAGTACTAGGCCTTAAACTCATGAGGGCCGGGGCACTGTCCTGAGTTTTTTTGCTTGAGCCACCGTCCATTGCTGGCATTTTTGGTGGTTAATTGAAGATTAGAGTCTCACAGATGGTGCTGGGAATGTGGCTTAGTGGTAGAGTGCTTGCCTAGCATGCATGAAGCCCTGGGTTCAATTCCTCAGTACTACATAAACAGAAAAAGCCAGAAGTGTCCAGCACCAGTGGCTCATGCCTGTAATCCTAGCTACTCAGGAAGCAGAGATCTGAGGATCTTGGTTCAAAGCCAGCATTGCAGGAAAGTCTGTGAGTCTCTTATCTCCAATAAACCACCAGAAAACCGGAAGTGGCGCTGTAACTCAAGTGGTAGAGTGCTAGCCTTGAGCTGAAAAGCTCAGGGACAGAGTTTAAGCTCCAAAACTGGCAAAAAGAAAAGGAAAAAGCCAGAAGTGGCCCTGTGGCTCAAGTGATAGAGTGCTAGCCTTGAGCAAAAGAAGCTCAGGGACAGTGCCCAGGATTGGAGAAAAAAAAAGTCTCAGAGACTTTCCTGCCCGGGGAAGCTTTAAATCACCATCTTCAGACCTCAGCCTCCTGAGTAGCTAGGATTATAGGCAGGAGCCATTGGTATCCAGCTGGGGTGGTGGCTTTGCCTTGGTCTGTATGCACTAGAAATACCCCACTGGTCAGTCATGATGAGTGGGGTTTGTTCTGTCCACTGCCTAGCAAGTACTGTCACTCTGCCTCTTGTAGACATGAGGTTGTCCTGTCTGCCTCCTGAAACCAGCATGTCGTCAGCATTCTGTCTGTCTGCAGGAGGAATTCTGTCTGTCTGCAGGAGGAATTCTGTCTGTAAGCCCTCAGTACCCCTTGTGATTCTAAAAGAGCTGCTGTTTTGTGGCCCAAGATGACAGGTGTACTGCTCTGCCAGCCACCATAGCAACCAGATCACCTCGCATCTGACTGTAATACTCATAGTCTTGACTGTAACTACGTAATGGCGGTATTGTCTTTGTCTCTGCCTGAATCATACAATTCTGCCTTTGTGGTCAGACTGAGGCAAAAGGGCCACTCAGCTTTCCCACTGCGTGCCTTCGCTGTGAAGTGACGCTGTGGCTGCTCTACACTGCTCATGAGGGTCAGTGCTGCCTGGAAGCTGTTACTTAGGTATATGATGCAGGGCAAACTCTCCCTTCATCTGTGACCCTCTTAAGTGCCATCCACAGGGTGAGCCTGGAGATGTCTGGGACCTCGAGGGGCTGAAGGATGAGGGGCTAGGACAACAGGAAGCTTGGGGTGCTGGAGGCTTGTGGTTGGGCTGCTGGGGCCTGGTTGGCTGTGGAGCGCTCAGAGGAGGCAGGAAGTCAGGGTGGAACGTGGGCGCGGGGAGACAGGTGGTAGAACTGAGACTGAGTCCCAGCAATCAAACCAGGCCAGGAGCACCATGTGAAAGGGCCAGGGGGTCACAGGCTGGGCAGGTAAGGAGCAATGGGAGCAGGGGTCAGGGCTGTGGTGGGAGCCCTACACAGGGCAGAGGTAGTCAGGGCCAACTTGCTCTGCTGGAGGTTAGCTGGTTCACCCCTTTCCTGCGAAGGTGGTGGTTCTTGCCTCAGCAATACTGTCTGCCATTGCTTACCCGCCTTGCACTGGGATTTTGGAGAATTTAGCAATCCAGCATGTGCATGTGGATGTTTAGGTATTTAAAAGGTCTTCAGGAATCACCATCTAGTACCCTGTCCAAAGGATGAGGCTCTTGAGGCCCACAGAGGGCAATGCACCCACTGCCTGTAGTCCCTCAGCAAGACAGGAGCAGAGCCAAGACCCTCCAACTTGTGCACTGGAATGGGGTCATGTGATGGAGTCTGAGGACCTAGGGACCAGTCCTGGTCCCTAAGGTAGAGCTAAGTGACAATCTCCCAAGCAAGTCACCTAGAACAACCAGATGGATGCGTGACCAGTATTACTTGAGAGAAGGTGGCGGAGAGAGTGGGTGGATGATTATCATTGGAGATGAAGTTCCCAGAGCCAGCAAATCTGACCCAACTTTGGGAAGTTGGAGGTGAAAGGAATGATGAGGGAAGGAAGAGGAAAGGTTATTTTTATCCTGGTCAGGGATGCAACTGTCTCTGGGTTAAGGAACTTCTGAATTTCCATCTGGAGAACTGCCATTCCAGTCCTGGCTCAGGATATCCTCCACGCTGGCCCCATTCCCTCCTCCTCAACTCCAGCTGTGTGTGGTGGCCCAGTTGGTCCTGCAGATTCCTGCTTCAGGCCCTAAGGGATGGAACCCTAGAAAGGCATCAACTACCCACACATACTCACAATCTAACTCTGAGCCCTCAGCTTTTTTTTTGGGGGGGGGGGAGGGTGGACAGTCCCACATGAGCCAGACTTTCCCGGTTTCCTCTGTCTCTCTGGAGCTTTTCATGCTACACACTTTCCGTCGAGTCAGCATTTCCCAGCCTTTCTTCTGTCTTCAGTCCCAAGGCCTGAGGCCTCTTGTGGAGGCTGGGGGGCATGCTGGGTCCTCCTATGGTTCATCTCCTCTTGGACAGGTAAGGGAAGTCCCCTTCCAGCACTCAGCTGTGCTGATTTGGTAGATTGCTTGCCCTCAGGGCTCAGGATAGTGGCTCTTCTCCAAAGGAGAAAGGCCCAAGTCGACCTAGATTATGAGCTGAGGGCCGGGGGCTGATCACTCACTCCTATACTCCTAGCTACTCAGGAGGCTGAATTCTGAAGATCATGGTTCAAAGCCAACCTAGGCAGGAAAAGACTGTGAGACTCTTGTCTCTAATTAACCAGTAAAAAGCTGGAAGTGGAGATGTGGCTCAAGTAGTAGAGGGAGAATCTTGTGAAGAAAAAGCTTACAGACAGCACTCAGGCTCTGAGTTCAAGCCCCTGTATATACACACACACACACACAATGAAGAGGGTTCAGAAGATAAGTCATCCATTATGGGGATCTAGAAAGCTTTCTTTTGTTGGTGATGGTGGTGGTGGTGGTGGGAGCTGAACTCTGGGCCTGGGCGCTGTCCCTCAGCTCTTCAGTTCAAGGCTAGTGCTCTACCACTTGAGCCACAGCACCACATCCGGCTTTTTTCTGCTTATGTGGTACTGAGGAATCGAACCGAGGGCCTCATGCATGTGAGGCAAGCACTCTACCACTGAGCCACCTTTCCAGCCCCATAGAAAGCTTTCTGAAGAAACAAAGCAGTTCTGAGAACAGAGACCAATTTTGAGGAGTGCTTAAGACAGGTCAATATCCCTAGGTCATGTTCCTGGAATGGGAAGGGCAGAGATCTGAAAGTAAAACCAGAGATAAGACAGCCCACAGAGCAAGGTAGTGCTCAGAGCATGCATTTTAAAGTCAGAAGGACTCAGGAACAATTCCAGGTCTACTGATTACTTTTTTTTCTTTTTGGTGCCAATCCTGGGACTTGAACTGAGGGCCTGGTCTCTGTCCCTCTGTGTGTGTATGTGTGTGTGTGTGTGTGTGTGTGTGTGTGTGTGTAGTTTAGTGACTGTGAGAGTCTCATGAGCTTTCCAGCTCCAGCTGGCTTTATTTATTTATTTGCTAGTCCTGTGGCTTGAACTCAGGACCTGGGCACTGTCCCTGAGATTCTTTTTGCTCAAGTCTAACACTCTATCACTTGAACCAAAGTCCCACTTCTAGCTTTTTCTGCTTATGTGGTACTGAGGATGGAACCCAGGGTTTAATGCCTGCTAGGCAAGCCCTCTACCACTAAGCCATGTTCCCAGCCCTGGCTTCAAATCCTGATTCTCATCTCTCAGCCTCCTGGGTAGTGAGGATAACAAGCATGAGCCATCAACGCCAAGCTCTGTTGATTCCTTGAGGGAGTAGCTTTGTCAACAAACTTTAGTATAGATTTTTTCTCTAGCAGAGTGCTTGTGGGAGTCCAAGAAAATAATGACTGTAATGTGTCCTGGGTATCATCTGACACATAGTAGGTATTTAAAGGAAGTTAGGCACTTCCTTCCCCTGCAAAGAAAATAGTAGGCCTACGAGGAAGACTGTCCATACCCAGAATTACCCTTATCAAAGCATCCTTGACCTTGGCAAGGCAGAGAAACACCTATTCCTCCACACTTGTGGTATGGCTTTTTTTTTTTTTTTTTTTTTTTGCAAATGATCTTGTTTTCTGCTCCTAGTGTGAGATCTTAGGCAGGCTAGATTCTAAGCAGGGCTGTGAGGTCTGCCTAGGAAGAGTTCCTCACAAAAACATATTCTCACACCCACACTCTTTTCATAGCCAAAACACCACAAAATGCCACAGACATCATCATAGGAAAGAGTAGGGGAACAGATCTCAGAGGCCAGGAGAGTGGGCCACACATACAACACAGGCTAGTACTCTGGTTTCTCTACAAAGTGTATAAAGCTCACCTTTTACAACACAGGCCAGATTCGACAAATTTATACACTCATAAACTAATGGCTTCAAAGCCAAGATCACTCTGGAAAAAGGAAAGCAATTGTGAAGAGAAAAGGATGGAACCAAGATACCACCTGGAAATGTGGGTATCTTTTTCCTTTTTTTTTTTTTTTTTTGTCAGTCATGGGGCTTGAACTCTGGGTCTGGGCGCTGTCCCTCAGCTTTTCAGCTCAAGGCTAGTGCTCTACCACTTGAGCCACAAAGCCGCTTCTGGTTTTCTGGTGGTTAATTGGAAATGAGTCTCACAGACTTTCCTGCCCAGGTTGGCTTTGAACTGTGATCCTCAGATATCAGCCTCCTGAGATCTAGGATTATAGGTGTGAGCCACCAGCACCCAGCTCTTTTTCCTTCTTTTATTTTTGTTTGTTCTAATACTGGGGATTGCACTCAGTTGCCTGAGTGTTGTCCTTTAGCTTTCTCACTCAAGGCTGGTGCTCTACTAATCAAGCCACAGCTCCACTTCTGGCTCTTTTTTTGGTGGTTAATTGGACATATGAGTTTCATAGACTTTCTTACTCAGGCTAGCTTCAACTGCGTTCCTTAAATCTTCTGAGTAGATAGGACTTGACTCACCAGCGCCAAGCTGTTTATTTGTTCCTGTTGTTTGGTGGTGGTGGTGGTGGCCAGGGATCTAATTCACAGCCCGCTAATTATATTTTCTATCATTAAGCTACACCTCCAGCCAGGAATGAAATCTGAAAAGTCCATCTCTATGGATTTTCAAGTATCTGCAGATGCATTTCCAAGGGCTCAAGTTCCAAGGGGCACCAAGAAAAAAAAGGGGGGGTATCAGGTCTCCACACTATGGATTTAGGTGTAATTAGCCCAGGAATTCATAGTCAATCCTAGCCTGTTAATCTTCCCAGAGAAGAAGTCCAATTCCTTTCATCTAGCCCAGTGTTTCCAGAACTTCCTGACACAGTTTTGTTTTTCCCATAGCGCTGCCTGTTCCAGACCTGCTTTTGAGATAAGGACAGAAGTAGAAAGTCAGGATGAGCTGTGTAGCTGATGCTCCTCAAAAGATTGTGTCTCACAGGACATGCTTGCAACATGCCTGCCTGTAATCCCAGCACATTGTTTTTTCTTTTTTGAGAGGAGGGGATGTGCTGGTACTGGGGGTTGAATGCAGGACCTCACATTTTCCCTTAGCTTTTTTGCTCAAGACTAGCACTCTGCCACTTGAGCCACTTCTCCATTTTTCAGCTTTTTGCTGGTGAATTCGAGTTGAGTTGAGAATTTGTCTACTCCGGCTGACTTCCAACCACAATCCTCAGATCTCAGCCTCCTGGGTAGCTAGGATTACAGGTTCGAACCACCAGTGAGTGCTCAACTGGAAAGACTTGAAAGAATGTGAGTTTAGGTTAGCCCAGGGCTACATAGTGAGACTCTGTTGCAAAAAAAAAAAAAGGAAAAGGGAAAAGAAGAAGATGAAGGAGCCATGGCAGCTCTAGCTGCTGTTTATGTGGAAATCCAGGGAGGAAGAAGGTGACACATTGGGTCACAGCCACTGTCTGCCTCTCAGATGGCAGAAATCACACAGTGCTCTGGGGAAGAGTTGTTTACAGCATAAACAGGTAACCAGCAAGGAGGATCTTCCCATTTCATTGGAAGGGAGACTTTAAGCATGGTATCTTGTGTGAGAGATGATAAGAATGTATGGGTGGGGCGGGGAAGGTGGCTCAGTGCTAGAGCGCTTGCCTTGCATGCATGAGGACCTGGGGTTTGATTCCTCAGCACCACATAAGCAAAAAAAAAAAAAAAGCCGGAAGTGGCGCTGTGGCTCAAGTGGTAGAGTGCTAGCCTTGAGCTGAAGTGCTGAGGGACAGTACTGAGGCCCAGAGTTCAGACCCCATGATGGGACCCCCCCCCCAAAAAAAAAAGAATGTACAGCTGTATGTGCACACGTGTGTGTTTGTGTGTGAGTGTCTGTGTGTCTGTGTGTGTCTGTTTGTGTGTGTGAATACCAGGGCTTGAACTCAGGGCCATGTGTTCTTGCTTAGTTTTTTGCTCAAGGCTAGGGCTCT